GGGCATGGTGATGCACACTTATAATTCCAGCTGCTTGGGAGGCTGAGGCGGGAGGATTGAAAGGTAAAAGACAGCCTAAGCAAAAGTGAGGTGCTAAGTAACTTAGTGAGATCCTGTCTCTAACTAAAATACAAAATAGGGCTGGGGATGTAACTCAGTGGTAGATCACAGCTCTGTTCAATCCCCAGTAGTGCAAAGAAAGAATTACTACAATAAACAGTAGTCTCTAATACAAATTTTAAGAGGTGAGCATAGGACTAGTCTAGCATTTTTGAGGTCCCGAGTTCGAACTACAGAGTAGGGACAGGGGTGAATATAGACTAATGAAAAGGTTGAAGCTGCTGTATTATAGAAATAGTAGAGGCCAGGAAGAATTTTTAAATGAGCTTTTCTAAGAATAAGTATTGAAACTGAATCATTACCCACATATAGGATTAAACAACAATGTGTATACCAGTGGTTCTCTTAAGGACAATTAGATGTTCCCTTGAGTTATTTGACTATCTAGAGATATTTTCAGTTATCACAACTGATGCTGTAATAGAGTATGCCACCAACATATAATTGGTAAATATCAGGGATGCTGAAAATGTCCTACAAAGCATAGCTTGGCACCCTCCTATAAGTAATAATTATTGTCAGTTTTGCCAAGATTTTTTTTTCTTTTTATACTGGGAATTGAACTTGGTGTTAATCACTGAGGGACATCACCAGCCCTTTTTTATATTTTATTTAGACAGGGTCTCATTGAGTTGCAAGTGTCTCACTAAGTTGCTGAAGCTGGCTTTCAACTCCCAATCCTCCTATTTGAGCCTCCTGGAATTACAGGCATGCGCCACCATCCCCAGCCAGTATTGCCAAGATTCAGAAATTGTTCTATAGCTTTGTTTTTAGATGTTAAGAGACTAGAATTTCTAATTTATTTTTATAAATCTTTTTAGTTGTCAATGGACCTTTTTATTTATTTATATGCAGTGCTGAGAATTGAACCCAGTGCCTCACACATGCTAGTCATGCACACCACTACTTAGTTACAACCCCAGCCCTGGAATATTTCTTGAAAGAGGTRATATAAAGCCTTGATGTGCTACCAAAAAAATCATATGAGCCAATATGACTTTTACCTCTACACAGCATTATTTCGTTTGTTATTCACATATAAACTAATTCATGTTGCAGAAGTGTAGGTTGTAGCAAATGTGTGCTTTGTGATATTTCATAAGTGCATTTATATTTAACTTGGTTTCCTACTTAGAAAAACTGAAAACAGTATAACTGAAATCAAGAGATTTCAATATGAATTTAAGATGTTAATTTTCTCATTCCACCATCTTTTACCCTAAGTACATGTATGAAGACATGAATGGTGTGAATATACTTTGTATACAACTAGAGATATGAAAAATTGTGCTCTATGTGTAATATGAATTGTATTACATTCTGCTGTCATATATAACAAATTAGAATTTAAACATTTTTTTAAAGAAAGGTGTTAATTTTTCTCACCACTACTAGGAACTGAACACAAGGATACTCTACCACCCAGCTGTATCCCCAACCCTTTTTTTTTTTTTTTTTTGAGAGAGTGAGAGAGGAGAGAGAGAGAGAGAGAGAATTTTTTTTTTTTTTAATATTTATTTTTTAGTTCTCGGCGGACACAACATCTTTGTTGGTATGTGGTGCTGAGGANNGAACCCGGGCCGCACGCATGCCAGGCGAGCACGCTACCGCTGAGCCACATCCCCAGCCCTCCCCAACCCTTTTTATTTTTATTTTGAGACAGGGTCTTGCTAAGTTTCCCAGGCTGGCCTTGATCCTCCTACCTCAGCTTCCTAAGTCACTGGATTACAGGCATGCTCCAGCACACCTAAAATGTTAATTTTAAATGCTTTACTAATTTGCCATTTTCTCTCTCCTCCTCAGCTTGTCTCGATACAGATTAAAGTTTAGTGCTGATAAAGTGGATACAATGATTGTTCAGGCGATTTGTAAGTATAGTACATGGCAAGGTCTGATCTGTTTCTTTGCTCTTCATGTTTTTGTTACTATGGAAGCTATTTGTTGAGAAAGGAGTTAAGCTATTACTGAGTCGATAGATCGCAAAAATAGTAAAGAAGGAAATTACCCATAATTTGATTAGTATAGGATAACATGAATCACAGTATTAAAATGTAAATTGATGTGTTTTCTTCTATTAATGTGAAAAATGGGGTAGGATCTATGTAATTGCCTTTTTCATTTAGCTTTTAAATAATGTGTTATTCTCCACGGAGAACTGTTTTTATTAATGTTGTCATAGCTCTTTGAATCTTTAAAATTCCTATAGTAATTCTATTCCTTTGTACATACCCAAGAGAATTGAAATTAGTGACTCAGGTTAGTCTCCTATATTGTTATACCCATGTTTACAGCAATATTGTTTACAGTAGCCAAAAATGGAGAAAAACAAAATATCTATTAACAGATGAATGGATAAATAAAATGTCTGTATGCCTAAAATGGAAGGTCACATCAGATACATTTTACAATGTGGATAAACCTTGAAATAAATGTAACGGGGAAATAATACCGGATTCTACTTGTGAAGTTCTAGAATAGACAAATTCATGGAGACAAAGTAGTATAGATGTTAGTAGGGGCTTGGGGAGATCATAATAGGCAGTTATGTTTTAATGGCTATGGAATTTTCAGTTCCATATAATGAAAATGTTCTGAATGGAATGTAAATATGAGAGTATACTTAATGCTACTGGATTGTAATTTTGAAAATGGTTAAATGTGAATTTTATGATACATATATTGTACTGTAATAAACTTTTTTTTTTGTCCTCATTTTTATCTACTACAGCCTTGTTAGATGACTTGGATAAAGAACTAAACAACTACATTATGCGATGTAGAGAGTGGTATGGCTGGCATTTTCCTGAATTAGGAAAAATTATTTCAGATAATTTGACATACTGCAAGTGTTTACAGAAAGTTGGTGAGAAATTTGTATATCCTTTGAAACATTGAAAATAACTAAATTTGGTTGCATGTCAAAACAAATTTTAGTAACTTAATCTGTTAGATTTCAAAGTTAAAATCAGAGAAAATGGTTCTCTTTTTCTTTAAGTAGCTTCTTATGGTAAGCTAATTAATAATAGAGGCAATTGTAGACAGGGCATCCTATAGTATATTAACTGTATTTAGTATTTACAGTAATATAGCTGTCTATATTGTTGATGTTATATTCTGTACTGTGCAAATTGCTTGTCTCATTAACATTTTCAGAATTAATGGCCCCATCGTCCATATAAAATTGACATTAGTCCTGTACTTAATTTTTGCTACCTTTCTGAACTTAAGTTTTTATGGAATGTTTTGTCTTATTTTTATCACAATTATATTTTGAAGGGAAATGGTGGGGAGAAATTTATCTCTAAAATCAAGCATTTACATCAGGATAACTAGTAGGTATGACTTAGTTGCTTTTTGTTTCACTCAGGCATCCTTTTTGCGGGTGGTGATGGTGCTAGGGATTGAATCCAGGACCTTGTGCCTGCAAGGCAAGCACTTTACCAACTGAGCTATATCTCCAGCTCTCATTTAGGCATCCTTTACAYTGGCTTATATCTACTTTTCTTTTGGCTGAATGGTGGATTTTATGTAATTTGTTAGAGTGATTCTCCCTCATCCTCTGCAAACATTCTGTAGGTGATAGGAGGAACTATGCTTCTGCCACACTATCTGAATTCCTGCCAGAAGAAGTTGAAGCTGAAGTGAAAGCAGCAGCAGAAATATCTATGGGAACAGAGGTTTCTGAAGAAGATATTTGCAACATCCTGCATCTTTGTACCCAGGTAAATTGTATCCATAGTGAATCCAGCTGTTTCCAGCTTTATAATAATTTTCTGATGGCAATGATGATTTTTACAGTTATTGTTCACCTGATAAAAACATGAGGGTGTTCAGTCACTACCTCATCTGATGCCATCTTATTTGGTATACTTAGAAGTGGGAAGTACATAGTGGAATGAAGTAATTTGTACTACTAGCATATTTATTAAGAAGCACAAGAAATATGGGTTGCGTTATTGGAGTTTGTGTTTATAGCCCATGACAGTTTTTTGCCCCAAATTTGATAATTATATACAAAAAATTTACAGATGACACAAATGTGTAGCTGATGGAATTTTTTGAAAACTATTAGAATAGTATTGACAAACTTTTTTTTTTTCAGAAGCTATACTGTAAGTGGCTTACCTACATTTGTTTAATTATAGACTTACAGAAGTGATTTTATAGAAAACCAGTCTTAAAAGTAAATTTACCTAGGGTCAAGCAGTTCTTTGATAATTCAGGAATCCAGACCTTTTTTTTTTTTTTAAAGAGAGAGTGAGAGAGGAGAGAGAGAGAGAATTTTTTTTTTTTTTTAATATTTATTTTTTAGTTCTCGGCGGACACAACATCTTTGTTGGTATGTGGTGCTGAGGATCGAACCCGGGCCGCACGCATGCCAGGCGAGCGCGCTACCGCTGAGCCACATCTCCAGCCCCAGGAATCCAGACCTTTTTAATTCGAGATTAGGGTCTCAGTATGTAACCCACACTAGCTTTAAGCTCCTAACTTTATATAACCTACCTGCTGTGGTCTCCTGTGGTCTCCTGAGTAATTAGAGTAGAGGCACATGCCAGTTTGTCTAAGCTGTTTTATTTGAGTGTTTTAGTCATGTAAATTTGACACTGTTTTTACTGATAGGTCTTTATTACTTACTCATTTTATTCTTTTTGTTAGGTGATTGAAATCTCGGAATATAGGACTCAGCTCTATGAATATCTACAAAATCGAATGATGGCCATTGCACCCAATGTTACAGTTATGGTTGGAGAATTAGTTGGAGCAAGGCTTATTGCTCATGCAGGTGACTGTTTTAATGTAATTTGTAAACACGAGTATTTAAAGTCATTTTTACAGCTATTAAAAAGTAAGAGCCAAGTGTTCAATGATGATTTTTGTTTGCTGGATTTCCTTTTGGATAATGAAGGCATCTTTAGTCACTACCTCTTCTGAGACACTTGTGGTTCTTTTTTCAGATGTTTGCTCTGGTTAATCAGAAAAATCAGATAATTACAGAAGAATATAATTAGTTATTTTTCATAATATTAAGAACTTATGAATCCAGGCACAGTGATACACTCCTGTAATCCCAGCTACTCAATAGACTGAGGCTGCAGATTACAAGCTCAAGGCCAGCTTGGGCAATTTAGCAGGAACTTGTCTCAAAAATTAAGTTAAAAAGGGCTGGGGATATAGCCTGGTAGTAGTGACTGTGGATTCAGTCCTCACTACTGCCCAAGAAAAGAAAAAGAAAGTCATGAGTTAAGAATATGAAAATCAAAAGGAGATTAGTAGTGGAAAGGGAATGGGGTAGGACGGAAGGAGGGTGGGGGGGAGTTCTGGGGGCTAATATTGGCCAAATTATATTGTAATGTTGCGTATATGTACAAACATAAAAATTTCATAATTTTATATAAATATAATGCACCAATAAAAAAGATGTGGAAAGAAAAAGTCATGAGTTCGGGAGATGTAGCTCAGTGGTAGAACATTAACCTAACATGCACAAGGCCCTGGTTTCAGTTCCCAGTACCACAAAACTAACAAAAACCCACATCAGACCAAGATGAATATAGTTCAGGCAATGTATATTCTTGATAGATTATGTGAATTTCATTGTTGAATATGCTATTTTAATGTATTTGACTTTCAAAGTGTTTTGAAGAATCAATTTATAATAAACTTAATGTGTATGTGGTAAAATTGTAAGGGTGATATGCTCCAACAAAAATCACTGTATAATTGAATACCTTTAGTATAGTTGAAGTACCAATTTATTTTTTTTAAATATATTTTTAGTCATTGACAGACCTTTTTTTTTTATATTCGGTGGTGAGAATCGAACCCAGTGCCTCACACATGCTAGGCAAGCGCTTTATCACTGAGCCACAACCCCAGCCCCCAATTTATTTTTATCCTATTAGAGACATTGTTATAATTCATCATAGTTCTTATTTATTATCTACATCAAAGTGTTTAAACTGGAATAACTGTCTTAGCTACATCTTTAATGAGACATAATATTCCATTCAAGTACCCTTCACTACAGGATCACAATCATCTAGCCTGGTTTCCTTGGTTTCACCCAGTTTTGTAGATGCATCTAAACTTATGGTGGTAACACATGCATACAGATATTAACAGAAATATGAGTTTTTTGCACTTTAAACATGTCTTCAGTAATTGAGCTCCTAACATTAACATTGGGTGTGTAGTGTGTTTTTTTTTTGTGGTACTTGGTATGCTCTGCAAGCATTAATACTACTAAGCTGTGTACTCAGCCCTTGTTTTGTTTTTTGATAGAAAATATTCTTTGCAACATATCGAAGAAAGCAACTTAGTTTAGTTCCAGGCATATTGCTTCCTAATCCTCATCTGAAATAAAGTTAAATGAAGTGAGAATATTTTTTCAGTTAATACTAGTGAGATATTCGTATAGTTGATACTACCTAGTGCATATCTAGAACAATGGAATATTTGATGTCCAAAATCTCAGGAAATGGGGGATTGATGTGTGTAAATACTTGTTTTTATATATGAATCACTTGGGGAATGCTAATGAATACACAGTAGAAATACCATCTCAGGCAAATAAGTTTGAGTTAAGCTTAACCTTCACTTTGTCATAGACATCACAAATCTCTGCCTCAGAGTCAAATGAAGTGTTAGAATTTTCAGGGAATTTATACAAGATTACATAATTCTGCATCATTTGAGGATTTTTTAATTTATTACTCTAGCTATAATAAGCTATGTCTTTTATTTAATACATGGAATGTACATATCTGGTAGTGCTTTATTAGTGACTATTTATTTTTGGTAGGTTCTCTTTTGAATTTGGCTAAGCATGCAGCTTCTACAGTTCAGATTCTTGGAGCTGAAAAGGCACTCTTCAGAGCCCTTAAATCTAGACGGGATACCCCTAAATATGGTCTTATTTATCATGCTTCACTTGTGGGCCAGTCAAGTCCCAAACACAAAGGGAAGGTGAGTTACAACTTTTCTGAAGTTAGGCCTTTTCCATCTATCTTCTATCTATTTTTATTTCTAAAAACACACATTTCTCCTGTTATTATAGTGCACATTCAGTCTTTGTATTGTCTTTATCATTTAATTTTGTTTAAATTAAAAGCATTTGTGTGTACTGAAAGAAAAGATTAGAAGAAATTGTTGTTGGTCCATCTGTAGCCATTTTCTTTCATTATTTTTTTTTTTCTAGGATTCACCTGTGGGTGATTCACAAAAGGATTTTGTAAGAAAGCCAGTCTAACATTTATGAACTTTTTTTTTTTTTTAGAGAGAGAAAGAGAATTTTAATATTCATTGTTTAGTTTTCGGCAGACACAGCATCTTCGTTTGTATGTGGTGCTGAGGATTGAACCCAGCTCCCCTCGTATGCCATACGAGTGCGCCACCGCCCGAGCCACATCCCCAGCCCCAAAAATAACTAAAATTTTATAAACATAAGAGCACAGTAATGGAAATAAAGTGTTCAATGAAACAATGTCAGTTTAAAGAAGTACCCACGATAGTTAAGACTGTTATGAGAGAAATGAATATTGTTGTTTTAGGGGACCTCTTAAGGCATTGAAATAGTATCGCTGTRTGAAACTAAAGATAGACATTGGAAGATTAGTTTGAGGTTACTTTATTTTATATTATGTCATTTTTTGGTACTGGGGATTGAACTCGGGGGCATTCAAACACTGAACCACATCCCCAGCCCTGTTTTTAATTTTATTTAGAGACAGCGTCTCACTGAGTTGCTGAAGCGTCTTACTTCACTTTTGCTGAAGCTGGCTTTTAACTTGTGATCCCCCTGCTACAACCTCCCTAGCTGCTAGAATTACAGGTGTGCGCCACCATGCTTGGCTAGTTTGAGATAATTTTAAACACAAATTTGTTAAAAYGTGTTTTTGTCCACCAAAGTGTTGACAGTGATGTATAACCAGTAAGCCATTATACTGTAGCAAAGATGAAGAAATACAGTGGGTGATTTGAGTTGTATGAGTTATAATACTTTTGATTTTGATCTTAAAATGAGGTCTAGCAGATGTAGTTCAGGGGTATAACTGCTCGCATAGCATACATAAGGCCCTTGGTTTGAGTCCCCAGCACCCCCACCCCCTAAAAAAATCTAGAATGAATGGTAATATGCTGATTTGGTATAATTTTTCTCATGAATAAATTGCTGAGAATTTTACATCTGAGCTTGGGGTATAGTTTGATTGCTTCTAACTTCGTGTTTTATATTAGATTTCTCGAATGCTAGCAGCCAAAACCGTTTTGGCTATACGTTATGATGCATTTGGTGAAGACTCCAGTTCTGCAATGGGAGTTGAGAATAGAGCTAAATTAGAGGCCAGATTGAGAACCTTGGAGGATAGAGGGGTAAGTACCATATTCCACCAATTGCACAATGTTTCCTGTGATTTGTTAATAAATAATGATAGTCTTATGAAACTGTTGTTTTGTGATCCACTTTAGTATGAAATATATTTTTTGTACCTGCTGTTAAGTTTCTCTTATTTACTAAGAATTGATGTATTGAATCACGTTTGTCATTAAGATATGCTGTTCAGAGTAAAGAAAAATTATCAGATATTGCTGCCTGTTGGTCCACTGAACTTTCTAGAGATAACATATTAATCAGATATTATGCTTGGGGGCTGGGGATATAGCTCAGTTGGTAGAGTGCTTGCCTTGCATGCACAAGGCCCTGGGATCAAGTCTCAGCACCACACACACACAMAAAAAAAGATATTATGCTTGGAATTTCATTAGTAATTTCCATTTTTCTTCTCAGATAAGAAAAATAAGTGGAACAGGAAAAGCATTAGCAAAAACAGAAAAGTATGAACACAAAAGGTGAGTATATTTAGGGGAATAGATGAACACATTGTTTATTTAAAAGTTAATTATCAACACCATGCACATACATGGCCCCCTTACATCCCCTAATTTTTTTTTTTTTTTTTTAATATAGGGTTTCACTAAGTTGCCCAGGGTCCAGGCTTTCCTCAACTTTGTAATCTACCTCAGCCATTCACATAAATGGGATTATAGGCATGCCTCACTACACCAGCAACAGCAATTTTTCACTTACAAACTTAAGCACCTAATTAGCCCCCAATCTTTTTATTAAAAAAATTATATACATTTATCGTATAAGTGTTGTTTTGCCAAGTATGTATATTGTGAAATGGCTAAATTAAGTTAACATGCACTCGCTTACTTTTTTTTGTGGTAGGACACTTAAAATTTACTCTGCTATGTTTGACAGTAGTCACCATGTTACTCATCTTTTTTTTTTTTCCTTCTCATTTAGTTTTTTTATACTCATTTCTATTTTTTTTTAATCCCCAGTGCTTTATATTTTTTATCTTGAGACAGGATCTCGCTTAGTTGCTTAGGACCCAACTACATTTCTCAGTCTGGCCTCAAATTTGTAATGCTCCTGCCTCGGCCTCCTAAGTCATTAGGATTATAATTTCTAGTTTCTAACTTCCAGATATTAGTACTAAATATTTTTCATATAAAATTCCTCTATGAATTATGCTATTTATAAAAAAGAAAGTTTATCTAGGATTAATCTACAAAGGAAACTCTTAGAAAGTTAAAGATGGAAGATAAGTCTAAAAATGGTTCACAGGCATGATGAAATACTCAGATCTTACTGTCAACAAGATTTATGTATGGAGGGGTTCTTTGGTTATCATTTGGTTTAATGCTCCATATTCATCAGGTTGTGGTGATAGAAGTAGATTGATACAGCTGTTTTGGAAGACAAAACATTATGACACTATGTATTAAGATCCTTCAAAGTGCTCCTAGTCAGTCATTAACCAATTCTACCTTGAAGATTATTTTAGCTCTGTAAGAATTTTTTATTTTGATATTTTTAGTTGTAGAGGACACAATACTTTTATTAACTAGTTTATTTTTATATGGTGCTTAGGGTCCAACCCAGGGCCTCACATGTACAAGGCACAACCCCAGTCTCATCTGTAAAAAAATTTTTTTAAAATATATTTTTAGATGCTGATGAACCTTTATTTTATTCATTTATTTATCTGTGGTGCTAAGAATTGAACCCAGTGCCTCACACATGCTAGATTATGCTGTAATAATTGAACAGAGAAAGCAATATATAATTATGTTTCTATTCATACATGTAGGTATTAAAATATACATGTTCAAAATTTTTTTCCTGTATACTTTGAAAAAGCCAAATGCATGCATTGTGGGCATTAACACTTTAATTGTAAATTTCTAAGTTGTTTACAATAGCTGCATGTTCTTTGTGGGAATGGGATATTGGGGGTTGAACCTAGGGACCTTCAACCACAGGTCTACTCCCTCAGATCTTCTTTTTTTTTTTTTTTTAAACAGGGTCTAGTTAAATTGCCTAGGAGATTTTAGACTTACAATTCTCTTGCCTTAACCTCCCGTGAAGCTGGGATTACAAACATGCAACCACCATGCCTAACTTTTAAGCAATCTTTCTGTATCTATCCCCTTTTATTCCTTTGCCCTGTGGGATATTGTGATGAAGATATCTGTATTAATTTTGGTTTTTATTTTATTTCATTTAATTATACAACTTTCTCAAAATGGGATTCAGTTTTTACTTTCTTGTTAATTGTGGAGATGCTTTCTCCATTTGTAGGGGGTGAGTTGGGGTACTGGGGATTGAACTCTGGAACACTCAACCACTGAGCCACATGCCCAGCCCTATTTTGTATTTTATTTAGAGACAGGGTCTCACTGAGTTGCTTAGCACATTGCTGTTGCTGAGGCTGACTTTGAACTTGAGATCCTCCTGTCCCAGCCTCCCAAGTTACAGGTGTGTGCCACCACACCTGGCAGTGCTTTTTACCTTTGGGAAAACTTAAGTCCTTATGAACTACATCAAATCCAGTAAAATAAAGCTATATTGTATGCTTGTGTATCATCTAGTGACATTCTCTTTTGTCTTGAATTATTTTAGTTACAGATATTTGTAGGGATTTTCTAAAATTCTTTTGTTCTTTCAGTGAAGTGAAGACTTATGATCCCTCTGGTGATTCCACACTTCCAACCTGTTCTAAAAAACGCAAAATAGAACAGGTAGACAAAGAGGGGGAAGTAACTGAAAAGAAAGCCAAGAAAGCCAAGATTAAAGTAAAAGGTTGGTTTAAAATTTTAAATGCCACTTATACTATTATGATGATACACTCTTGTACTTACTCTTACACTTAAAAATTACAGACTTTGTGAGTCTTGGAATAGTATCCACCTTTACCATTGAATGAAAGCCAGTGGTGTTTCAATATGTCATTATGTTCCCTGCGAGTAAGTGGGATCGTTAAAGGCATCAGATTTCATAGGAATGTGACAACATAACTTCAAATACATATAATTATGTGTTTAACTAGGTTTACCAAAATACTTAGTTTCTGCTATGTACATTATTTTAGCAATTAAGAATTTTTAAAAAAGAATAAAGTGATTTCTAACTTGGATGTTAAGATATTTTTTAGTCATGAAAATGACTAAATGAAAGTACACTTTTTAACAGCAGTGGTTCTCTTTGTTATTTGGTTAATAAATTGGAATATTTGCATGCTAGGTAGCTATTATAGTGATATTTAATAAGTACTCACCAGACAACCAAACTGTCTTATGAAGTTGATTAAACCAGTGCCCCATTTGTTAGTTGCACCTGTTTATTGAGTTCTTGCCAGTCTAGAAAGAGTAAAACACAGTATCTTTGTTTATTTTTAATGTGGTACTAAGGATCAAGCCCAGTGCCTCACAGTCAAGGCAAGCTCTGTACCACTGAGCTACAGCCCCAGCCCTTCAATTTGGTTTCTAAATGGCTTACTTGTCAAAAACATACTGTCATCAAGAATGGACACAGGCAATTATTTAAATTCCTTTTGTTTTCTTATTGAAAAATCAAGAAAATCCCTAAACTCATTGCTAGGATTTGAATCACTGAATTCTAAATTTTATCTCCCCACCTCACCAGTTTTGTTTTTTTTTTAACGATGAGCTTTTCAAAATTAATGTGACTGGATCTTTGTGTATTCCTAATCTTTTGCCTGCAATTTTTCCCATGCTTTAAGTAGCAGTTTTTGTTATTTTGGCTATAAACTTCAACTTTTTTCTTATAATCCAAATCTATTCTGGCATCAGATCTTCTCTGTTCTACTTTGAAAGTATGTAGTGGCCATAGAGGTAATACATACTTCACATTAGTTTTCTGGTGTGTTCTAAATTTCTACTCTTTGCTAACTATTCCAGCCACATTGACCTATTTGAAGTTTCTTAAATACCCCTCCCCAGATATTTGGAATCTTACCATTTTCTCTTCTTTCTCCTTGGAGTATTCCTTTCAGATATACCATCATTCATTTCCTTGTCTTGATGTTTGCCTGACCACTCTGTCTTAACGTCAATATGTAATTGCCCTTCTACATTCCCCTTCCTGTTTTATTTTTATCCTTAACACTAATTCCTATTGTATATAGTATTATTATTTGCTTTGTATTTTCATTCCCCCCCTAAAATAAAATTCATAATAGAGGCTTTAAATTCCAGTAACAATCCAGTAAGGTAAACATTTTTATTTATTTGTTTGTTTATTTGTTTTGGTTAGGGATTGAACCCAGGGTCACTTAACCCCTGAGCTATATCCATCCCTTTTTATTTCCTAATGAAATATTTAGAATATTTTCCCTGAGTTTCTGTGGCTGGCTTTGAAATTATCCTCTTCCTCAGCCTTCCCAGTCACTGGGATTATAGGAATGTGCTAATATCCTTAAATTTTATGTATGTAGATAAGGAGTTTTATAGAGGAGCAAGCATTTTAAAAAATGATTTTCGTTGATGGGGATGTAAATAAAAAAGTCTTTACTGTATTTCTATTCAGGAGTCATAGGATAGATTACACACAATCTGACTCCAGAACACACAATCTCTTAACCATTTCTTTTTCTTTTTTTTTTWWAAATTTTATTCTTAAGTTTTAGGTGAGCACAACATCTTTATTTTAGATTTATGTGGTGCTAAGGATCRAACCCAGTGCCTCGTGCATGCTAGGCAAGCACTCTACCAGTGAGCCACAACCCCAGCCCATCTCTTAACCATTTCTAATGTAATTGCCTCCTCGACAAAACAATGGCATTGGTAATCTGATAGCTTTTGTTTTAGTCCTAAGTTTTATATGTAACTGCATGATTAAGAGAGAAGTATGTATCTCTGAGCTGTATCTGTATCATTTATAAAGTTTATGGCATTAGAAAAAGTAGTCCTTGAAGGACATTTTCAATTACAAGATGGATATAAATATTGAATAGTTTACCAGAATGACCAAAAAAAAAAAAAAAAAAACCAAGAAATTTTTGGGTGGATTGAGGTCTGGTTGAATGTTAATTGTTCGATCTTTGTACTTACCCAATTCAGTTGAAGAGGAGGAGGAAGAAGAAGTAGTACTAGTAGAAGAAGAGACATCTACCAAGAAGAAGAAGAAAAAGGATAAAAAGAAACACATTAAAGAAGAACCAGTTTCTGAGGAAGAGCCGTGTACTAGCACAGCAATTCCTGTATGTTTAAACAATTCCTGTTTTTTAACTAACCAGTACTGTCTCAGTGTGGGAAGGGTCTCCATATTTTAATCTCTTCTCTATCAGAAATGAGTAAGCATTTAAAAAAACGGTTTTCATTGATGGGGGAGTAAGTAAAATTCTTATTGTATTTGTATTATTAATGCCCAGGTTTTTATTTTGTTTTCTTTGATAGACAGTCCTGCTAAGTTGCTTTGGGCCTCGAAGAGTTGCGAGGCTGGCTTTGAACTTGGTATTCTGCCTCTCAGCTTTGTGAACTGCTGGGATTGCAGGCKTGTGCCACCCTTCTCATTTTAAAGACCATTTTCCAAATTTACTTTCTTTCTTTTTTTTTCTTATTGTTGGTCGTTCAAAACATTACATAGTTCTTAATACATCATATTTCACAGTTTGATTCAAGTGGGTTATGAAATCCCAATTTTACCCCGTATACAGATTGCTGTATCACATCAGTTACCCTTCCATTGATTGACAAATTGCCTTTCTAGTGTCTGATGTATTCTGCTGTCTGTCCTATTCTCTACTATCCCCCCTCCCCMCCCCTCCCCTCCCCTTTTCTCTCTCTACCCCTTCTACTGTAAATCATTTCTTCGATTTGTATTATCTTGTCTTACCCCTCCTTTCCTCTTATGTCATTTTGTATAACCCTGAGGATCGCCTTCCATTTCCATGCGGTTTCCCTTCTCACTCCCTTTCCCTCCCACCTCTCATCCCTGTTTAATGTAAATCTTCTTCTCAAACTTTCGTCCCTACCCTGTCCTTGTTTACTCCCCTTATATCAAAGGGGTCCAAATTTACTTTCTTACTACAAAAAAGTTTGAGGAAGGAAGAAAACATGATTTACTTTTTTTTTAAGTGCTCAGGATTGAACCCAGAGCCTTATGCCCATAAGGCAAGTGCTGGGCCACTGAGCCACACTCCAGGGTCATTTTTATATTTTAATCTTACTCCCAAATTTGTGTTTAAGGGACATTGATCTATTTTATAAGGAAAAGTTATTCCTCATGCATACAATTACAGCTCTTTCAAAAGCATTTTGTTGCTTATTTCAGAGTCTAGAAAAAAAGAAGAAGAAGAAGAAGAAGAAAGACATTGAGGACTAATGGGAAAGGAAACAATTTTGGCACCTGGAAACATCATGCTTAAGATTCTGTTGGGAGTATGCCAGAGATGCTCTCTAAAATAATCAAGGAGAGGTTGAATGAAACAGTGATTAATCATCTCTAGCTTTTCACACTTGTGTCTTTATGTCAACTCTTGTTAACCTTATTATGTCAACATTTGTTAGAGTCTTTGATATATAAATAAAAATATTTTCTTTGTATTTTAAGGCAGGTCTGTGATCTCTTGACATTTAAGTAGTGAGTCTTTGGTCTTTTCTATATTTTATTTGACATCTGATGATTATTGTTTTGATCATTATAGTTGAAAAGTTGTTAATGGTATGCTTAATTTGAAACAGTCTTTTGGAAGGCTATAATTATGATAAGATGGACCGATTTAAGTACCTCATTATTACTTTTTTGGACTATTTTTCATAACTCACCGACCCACCCACGCTCTGTATTTATTTAAATAAAGATTTGTTTCATGTTCAGATTTTAAACTAGGTGAGCAAACCATTTCAGGGTCTCTTCTAGAAAAAGGAAGAAACTGTGTTTGTAACTTACTAAAACACCCTGGTTCAATTTTCAGTACCAAAAAGAAAAACAATGTCACTTGGAAAACAGTTGGAGAGAAAAAAATATCGGTAGAAATGAGGCATAAACTTACAAAAGAATGCTAAAGAAAGAACTTTACCTTTTTAAAATAGTATTTATTATGCCAACAGAAACCTGTTTTCTGTATCATCGTGACAGTCATAAGTTTATCAAAGTATTATATCTTGCCTCTTTATATCCTGTGGACGTAATGCTGAAGTAAGATTCAATAAAAGCATTTGGCAGACCAAAGAAGCTAGAAGCTAGAGACTCTAGCTTTGATTTCTGCTTTTCTTGTGACCACAAGCAAGTCAATAACCCTACTTCAGATTCCTAGTTTGCTGTTAGCTTTAATAGTGTGGTTATTTTGCTTTGAGAAAACAATGTCGTTTTGTAGTACCCAGTAGGATGTGTTCCAGATTATATGAGGCTTTTGTTTGTTTGTTTTGTTTTGTTTTGTTTTGTTTTGTTTTGTTTTGTTTATGGTTTTTGGTACCAGGAATTGAACCCAGGGGTGCTCAACCACTGATTCACATGCCCAGTCCTTTTTATATTTTATTCAGAGACAGGGTCTCACTAAGTGTCTTGGGACCTTGCTAAGTTGCTGAGGGTGGCTTTGAACTCACATCCTCCTGCCTCAGCCTCCTGAGCTGCTGGAAATACAGGCATGTGCCACTACACCTGGCTGTTYTTAACACCTTTCATGAAAGTAATTCATTGATCTACCAAGAGTGGTATATTAAAAAGCTTTTACATCTGAAAAAAGTTTAGACTGAGAATGCTAACTAAAAACTTCTAGTGGTTTTGAGTAGTTATCTACAGGCCTGAGGAAAGCCTTAAAGTCTGTCTCATATGATCCTTAAATTTCAGCCTTTCTGTGTTAGGTGAGACTATAGGCCCATGCCACTGCACCCACCTATACCTAATTTTGATTAGCAAATTTGAATTATTTTCTATGAACCCACATAAAATAATCCTTTCTTAAAACATTTTTTCTATGGCTAGGAATGTGGCTCAGTGGTAGAGAACTTGGTTGGCATACMAAAAAAAAGCTTGTGACTTGGGTTCATCCTTTATCCCAACTCTACCACTTAGAATGACAATGCAGTAAGGCCAAGTGTCTCAAACTTACTGATCTGAATCAAGTCTAGGTTAGCACCCATGACAGCATTTTTAGCAAGGTCTCAGGTAGTGTAAGTTGAAGGGGCACACAGTAGCCAAGTCTAGGGTAAATAATTTAAACTCATAGAACCTGTTTATCTTTAATTGGGTTGTTTAAAGGAGTGAGGTATTTGTGAAGAGTTAAAAAATTCCTTCTGCATTACTTGACATCTTCAGTAGAACTCTACTTACTATCAGCAGTTGTTCCTAGCATAAAATAGGCTTTAATGTTCACTAATGAATATATGGCTCATGGAGAAATTACTAATTTTATGTGTTTTATTCTGATTAAAGAATGCCCTTTCTGGTTTTTCTGCAAATGCCTTGAGAACAGCATGAACTTTTAAAAAAAAAAAATAAGAATTTTTTATTTATTTTCTCATGTGGTGCTAAGGATCAAAACTAGTGCCTCACCTGTGCTAGGCAAGTACTCTACCACTAAGCTACAACCCCAGTCCCCATTAACTTAATATTAAGGGCATAGGTGGTTGAGCCAGTATTTATTAAAGGTTTTTAATCTGCTTTATCCTATGGCAACTCATCACCAAAAGTCAAAACTTGTTAACTATTTTTTAAATATAACAACATTATAGGTACTTTTTTTCTTTTTTTTTTTCCTCCTAGCACTGGGTATTGAACCCTGGGCTTTATGTACATGGTGAACAACTGCTTGTAGATGCTAATTTATAGTAGATTTTGTTTTGTTGGGTACTGGGGATTAAATCTAGGTGTCCTTAACCACTCATCCATATTCCTAGCCCCGTTTACTTTTTATTTTGAGACAGGGTCTCACTAAGTTGCTAAGGCTGGCCTCATGGTGGCACACATCTGAAATGGCTGGATTATAGATGTGTCCTATCATGCCTGGTTTCAGTAAGCTTTTGTTCAAAAACATTTATTAAAGCAAATGTCAGAATGTACTAAAAGCTTTGGTAGGGATTAGAAATACCTGGAGGACATGGGGGTAGGGGAGGGTTTGAACTCAGGACCTCACACTTGCTAATCATGTGCCTTACCATTAAACTACAACCCCAGACTTTTTTTTTTTTTTCTTTGAGACAGGGTCTCAAAGTTGCCCAGGCTGGTCTCAATCTTGGATCATCCTGCTTCAGTCTCCCAAGTAGCTGGGATCACAGGTGTGGACCACCAAACCTGGCAAGAATTTTCATTTTTGACAAATTCCAGCTCATGATGGTTAAGGGACAATACCTTTTCTAGGAGGATTTCTTTCCATTATCTTACCTAGCTCTGCAGTTCTCCAAACTAGAACCTAATTTTATGGCCAAGATACCACCATCAGGCCTCAATTGAACTGTTTTGCTGTCAATTGTTCAGAAGCACATTGGGACTGGGCACAATCTGACTAATGTTCTTCCTACATAGTTAAAGAAATTATTGTTTCCTGTCTATTAGAATTTAGTTTTTGAATTCCTGTTTCTGTGAGTGTTCTGTGTATATTTTGTATAAAATGAGGAAAACCAGTTGTTTAAATTTGTGGGCTCATTTGAAACAGTACATAACAAACAGCAATTAGCTCMCATGTAATGCAAAATCATTTGAAAGAAACATTAGTGAGATAATAAACTTATGACTAGTCCCACAAATGTAAGTGACCAAGTATATCCTTGACTTATTTTGGTTGATTATAAACAAGGACTGGTGCTTCATATTAGTTATGGTTTACATATTAGGTGTCCACCAAAAGCACATGTGAGACGATGCAATGATTGCTTTATGAGAGCCTTAACCCAATCAGTGAATTAATCCCCCACAGAGATTATCTGAGTGGTTACTAAGTGGGTAAGATAGCTGAAGGAGGTGGGTCATTGGGGCTGTGCCTTTGATGTATATATTTTGTGAGCTTAGTCTCTCTGCTTTCTGGTGTGATGTTCCCAGCTGCTTTCCTCTGCCACACTCTTTGGCCATGATGTCCTGCCTTACCTTGGGCCCTGAGGAATGGAGTCAGCCATCTATGGATTGAGACCTCTGAAACCGTGAGCCCCCAGATAAACATTTCCTCCTAATTGTTTTTGTCAGGTCTTTTGGTCACAGCATCAAAAAAGCTGACTAAAACAATATTCAATCATCTCTACTATTTAGTACTTTCCTTTGAAGTTTAGTTTTGGGATTTTGTTGTGATTTTGTTTGTTGCCATAAAGCTTCAGTGAATGCCTTTTGTGCATTTATCATGTGCTTGTGTTTAAATAGGATAGGGCTGGGGTTGTAGTTCAGTTGTACAGTGTTTGCCTAGCATGCATTAAGGCCTAACTTCCATGTCCAGCACTGCAAATTTTTTAGATGTAAAATTATTGTGACAAAGGGAATAGATAAGTGTAAAATAGTGACAGTTTGCTCAAAACGTAGCAGTAATTTTCAGTCCAACCAACAATATTAGAAAGCCACTATTTCAGAAACTCTCTTTTTAAAAAGAGAGTTGTCCCACCTACTCATTACACACTTTTAGACACAGCAGCATTTTTTTAAAAATGGYATTTTAATCAAATGGTTTTAACCTGGATAGTGTCCTCTTAAAATTCTGTAGTCTAAGATGGATAAGAAAATTCTACTCTATCAGTACAACATTGAAATCATACTGAAGCTCATACACTCCCACTCAGCCTTAACTACTAATCCAACGAGGGAATTTGTGACTAGAAAAAGGTATCCCTTCAACACACTGTAGTGTTGAAGTACCAGAAAGTTTTTGGGACTGTAAGTCAATGACTAGGAGGTGTCTGCCCCTGATTTTTTGGTTTTCTGCAGTGAACATCCTGCACTACTTTTAACAAGCTGTAATTCTGGTCCACCATCACTTAATTGGAAAATTCAAAATAATAAGCCTAAAAGGATAATTAACATTTTATTGATTACTACTCTGTATCCAGCATTCCTCAAGCCCTTTAATTAACCTAAGTCTAACAACCCTTTCTAACAGATTCTATCATCTTGCCTGCTTACACATGAGGAAATTGATAACATGTTAAGGAACTTGGTTGATGCCATTTAAATCATTGGGAACAATGGGGTATGGGAATATTGAAGGCATTCTGCCTCTAAGGCCAATGGCCAGTGATTCTGAAAAATGCAAGCTACTCTATGTTGGAACATTTTTCTTTAGTAGCCTAAAGAGAATCCTATAATTTCAAAATAAATAAATAAATGGTTTGATTCTAGAAATAAATTGTGTGGGCTACCCTTGCAGAGACAGGTTGAAATAGCTGTCACCAGAGCTTTTTCATTGAACCTGAGGATCCCAATGCTGGTATTTTCTATTCTGTGATTTAAACCAAACCCAAAGATCTAGCAGGCCACCAAGCAATAGCTTTGGATGTAGTTCCCAAGAACTGGCCTAGTGTGTTTGTATACCTGAGGTTCCACCGGTCAAGTCAGCCATTACAATGTCAAGTCCTATATCATAGCAGAAAATGCAGCCTTCAGAGTTGGAAGACACACTATTATTAGCATAGCTTTGATGACATCCCTTATAAAAGTGACCAAATTGAACAAATGCTCATAAACACTACAACCCCTGATTATGTAGATGTCTTGATGCTTAAGAGTTACGAGTAGAAATGAAACAATGGAAAATGACAATAAATTCCTCAAAAATTTGATGTGTCTGTTAGTACCAGCAGAGGAGAATAGGAGATTTTAGAGGCCAAAGGAATTAGATTGTCTAGTACAGCTCTGTCGCTGCAAATGAAGATTTTGGTCTGAAAGAGACCTTCGCCACACTTTACCCAGTGTGCTGGCATATTCCAAGGATTTTAGGTTTGCCCTTTTAGCAATATGGAGAAAATAGTTTCTCTTATAAAAAGTATTGGCTGCTGGGGCTGGGGATGTGGCTCAAGCGGTAGCGCTCTCGCCTGCCATGCGTGCGGCCCGGGTTCGATCCTCAGCACCACATACCAACAAAGATGTTGTGTCCGCCGAGAACTAAAAAATAAATATAAAAAAATTCTCTCTCTCTCTCTCTCTCTCTCTCTCTCTCTCTCTCTCTCTCT